CACAAAGACAATGTTTTCTTTAACTTAATTGGCTTTATGAAAAATAGTGGGTTGTTTAAAATCATTTACACCAATAAGAGTACCGTATTTTTCGGTGTGTAAGCCGCACCGGACTATAAGCCGCATGGTTCAAAGTTCAGGAAAAAAGTCGCAGCTTATGGTCCGAAAAATACGGTACATAAATACCATCCTGCATCAATTGTCTACAAAGCAACAAGAACATTTACAAATCATTAAGGCCTAAAGTTATAGACTAACAGTCATTTGTAAAAGATCAAATTGAATCAAACTAAGCATAAACCCAACAAAATCATGAAGCATTTGTTAATCGATGTGTAGGGGTCAATAAATTAAAATTCCTTCCAGTGTTTTCTGTGTGTTGTCAGCTCTAAATGCAACCTGGTGTGTGTATATGTGTGTGTGTTGTTGTGTATTTGTGACAGTGACACAATGTTTTGTTTCTGTGATGCAGGCGTCTGACGGTGAAACACACTCGCACTCTGCAGCTAGAGGAGGATGTTCTGTGTGTGAAGTTTTCTCCTGACCACAGACTTCTGGCRGTCTCTCTGTTGGACTGTACGGTCAAGGTCTTTTACACAGACACACTCAAGGTATGCGGGTCTAACACATACACACAAATAATACAGTAAAAATGTGGTTGATATATTGATGTTTGAATCCTGACTCTTCTTGTTGCTGCTGCAGTTTTTCCTGTCTCTTTACGGACACAAGCTGCCTGTACTTTGCTTGGACATCTCACATGTAAGTCCTGTCAAGTTGTAAAACYTTCACTTGAACAATATTCATTATCGCCTGCTGCCACGAAAGACGGTCAGTTGTGTAACTGTTTCTGCGTCTATCTGTTAGCAAAATAGCTTGTGAAACAATGAACACAACACAAAAATAACTAGAACTGCAAAGCAGTTATGACCAGGGTCCAAGCCAATTTATGCATGTGGTTTCCAGCATCTGTCGACCTTGTGTACCACAGAATTGTAGCATAATGTATCATGGTATTTATATATGTATATATAAGGTATTTACAGGTATAGGTATATAGGTATTTATAAGGTGTGTTTTAGGGTCAGTTTGCCACAGCATCTATTGAGCTCCTTTTTCATGGGTGTGCCTATAGTGGTTCTCATAAACTCAGGGTTGACCAAATGGGTCTCCATTTTTGGTTCCAGTACACTTTTGGATCTACCTGAGCAGTGGTTTCAGGCAGGTCAAGCAGAGAATTGACTTTACAATGATTTTTGTGAACATTGGTCCCAAGTAAGGCAAGTATAGGTTTGTGTGTGTGTGTCCATAAAGTAGGAAAATGAGTATGTATTTGTGAACCTGTGATTCTGTTACAGGGTCACAGYAGCAGGCGAATTAATTAATCGAGATTAATCACAAAAGTAACTTGAGATTAATCAAGATAAAAAACATTTAATCTTCTGCCCAGCACTAATAAATACATACACAAACATTGTCYTGCTAGGCTACATACTGTATGTCTACTATATCCTGCCAACTAATATTAACTAATAGAGTATCATAATGATATATACCGCTCATCCAACTACTATTGAATCTGGATAGTTTCTTTTTTTTAACAGCAATAAGSCAGAATGAAAACAAGTCAAAAATAAATAGGAGTAATGACTTCTTACCTAAATTCAATTCACACATTAGTCCTAACCTAATCCRTGATGCAACAACGACAGAGGTGCCAACCATTACGATCTCACCGTAATCATTACGATATTGAGACCCGCTCTGAACCATTACMGRGTACTAGACATTTATTACGATCTGGCCTTGCGCCAAGCTCCTGGGAACCCCTCCCGCTGCAGCAGTATTTTTCCACCTACGTGGTTCGGTTTGGCTCCACCCCACTCCGCACCCTGTAACTCCCGCCCGCCTTCGGCCCACTCAGACCTCCTCTCGAGGTAGTACTGAGGCTGCCCGGCACTGTTWGGGGCGTMGKGGTGCCGAAGCGTGTAGCAGTCGCGGCGCGCTGGGAAAAGCTAAAAATTTATTGAGCCYGTTTTCAGAGCAGTGAAGGACCACAACAACAGCCGGAGTGTCTCAAAGCAGTGGGACTAGAGCTGCTTTGGGTAAATGGAGGGGATCTCTCTTTACAGCCCCCGATAGTTAGTTAGCTGCTGCTAACTCTAGACTGGACTCTTCACAAACTTCATCTGCAGACGGTGAGTGCTTTAGGCATTTAGTGAGATATTGAACAAAATTTACGGGACACATGTCTCGCTTGTGAAACTCTACCTTTTATTTATAAAGTTTGTACCGATGTGTCTTTGTGCGTGTTCGTTTCAATGCTAACTAGTTAGCAGCTAGCATCTATCGCTAGTTAGCGATCGAGGCTAAAAACAACACCCCAGCTTTACATTTATTATAATTAGTAATTAATTTTAACCGTGGTGAGCAGCGGAGGAGCTGTGTGTGTGTTTGTGTGCACGCTTGATAGGAAGACGTCAGTGCGGTGCAGTGTGTGTGTTTTTTTGTTTGTTTGTTTGTTTGTTTTGGTACGACGCAGCAGCCAGTGAACCGCGGAGGATTAATCGACAGAATTTACGGAGGGAATATTAAAAATGACACGAAACAGCGACTTTCTATAATTTGTTCAAAAATATTTAACCGTCACAGAATAACTAAAGTGAGCTAATTCAGTTGTTTTGTTTGAAACAAGGCAGCAGGCATCTGTCCCACAATAAATACGGTCCAGTTCAGCCCAGCTGAGTTCTGCTCCACACCTCTTTTGGATCTGCGCTGCCGGTTTCACCTGTGGTCTTATGAATGACTCGGGGAGGCTTAAAGCCGGACTGGTCTGTGCGGCAATTGCGTGGATTTGACTTATGAACGGGGAAATTTACTCACACTCCTAGGCATAAAYTGTGCAGTAACTGTAATTTCATTTATTAGAAAATCATTTTGGTTTTGTTTTACTGCATTTAAAAGCAAAGGTTTGCTGTAGCAGGATATGAGTATTATTTACAGACTATATATCAGACGTTTTATGTCAACAGTTAGCTTTAGCACAGAATGAGCAACGATAAACAGCAGCTACTTTTAAAAGATGTTACCGCTCCGAACCAGCCGAATTGAGTCGAGAGGAGCCGGACTCAGTAGTGGAAAAGACTATTCTGCTTAATCTGTTATTATTTTAAAAGACAAATATAGTTTCCTCCTTATTCAGTTTAAATATTGTAACAATAATTGCCTGTGACCTGATGCATCTCAGTAATCCAGGTAAAAAATCAAAAAGAAAAAAAATTGTATAGGTCTTCTGGACGGGTTCTTCTCTAATGAAACGTTTCGTCTCTCCTCCAAGAGACTTCTTCAGTCTGAGAGTTTCAGGCAAAATTTAGGCTTTTAAGCACTGCCTCCATGTGACTGATACTCACATCACATGGCTATCGTTCACACCTAATTAACACCTTTTGTTAACAGGTGGTGGAGTGATACTGGCAATAGCCGCGCTGTAGGAGTGGGACAACTGCAAACGGAGGCCTCCACCTCTGTTTAATGATGGACGATCTTTCTTTACAAAAATGGCTTCTTTTACTCCTCTCTCAAACCAACGTTCCTCTCTATCAAGAATGAGAACATCCTCATCTCTGAAAGAGTGACCGCTGGCCTGTAAATGAGTGAAAACTGCAGAGTTCTGGCCATTAGACGTAGCTCTTCTGTGTTGGGACATTCTTTTGAACAGTGGRTGCTTTGTTTCCCCGATGTATAACTGGTCGCAGTCCTCCTGGCACTTAACAGCATATACAACATTGCTCTGTTTGTGCCGGGGCACCGCATCTTTGGGGTGAACCAGCCTTTGCCGTAARGTGTTTTGGGGTTTGAAAGCCACCGGGACATCATGTTTAGAAAATAAACATCTCAGTTTCTCCGAAACACCCGCAACATACGGAATTCCCTGTGACTACAAATTCATCTTCATCTGTTGAGTCTGATTATAGAAGGGTGAATGATTAAAGGAGGCCCAATAATAGGATAGATGTTTGTACTGTTTAGCAAAGTTATGTTCATAAAGCACCCATTTTATAAACTCTGTTTTATCACTTGTTTACTTATAATCTCTCCATCTAGAAATAAGTAGGTTTGTATGAATACTTTGAAGTTTAAAGATATAAATTCCATATTTTTTTATAATGCGCACAAACTGCCAAAAACTAACGCACGCCACGTGACGCACATGCTCTGAGACAATCATTATGATTTGGGATGGCTCCAGGTTGGCACCTCTGCAACGATATTTCTCCTGATGGGAATCAGGCTGTTGTCCCCATTAGGAAGAGTGGGTCCTCACCAAGCCGTGTATACTGGGAAAATTATCAAAAATTGTCCCCACAAGTAGCAAAAACATGTGTATACTCACACACACCAGACATCAGAACCACATCTTTATTGTTCACTGTCATAAAAACAAGAGTTGTAAAGTAACTAATTACAAATACTTTGTTACTGTAGTTAAGTAGACATTTTGGTTATCTGTACTTTATTGAGTAATTATTTTCAGAGTACTTTTAACTTTTACTCCTTACAGTTTCACACAATTATCTGTACTTTCTACTCCTTCAGTTTTTAAAAAAGTTTAGGTTCTGGATCAGGTATGTTCTGGGGTGGTTGGGTTTAGGGTAAGGGTCAGGGGTAGGCTATAGAAAAGGCCGGGAAATGAATGGAAGTCAATGCAAAGTCCCCATGAGGACAAAAGAACAAACGTGTGTGTGTGTCCTCTTTAACTCCACCGTGTGTTTTCTGTGAACAGGACAGCGCTCTGATCGTCACCGGTTCCGCCGACAGAAACGTGAAGATCTGGGGTTTGGATTTTGGTGACTGTCACAGATCGTTGTTRGCGCACGATGACAGGTACCACCCAACACACACACCTCTTTGTGATCTTTGAATTACTCTATCACTTTGCTTGTCTTGACTTTCTCGTCTCTTTCCTCCTTTTAGCGTCATGTTCCTCCAGTTTGTCCCCAAAACCCATCTGTTCTTCACGGCGGGGAAGGACCGCAAGATCAAGCAGTGGGATGCTGATAAGTTTGAGCACATACAGACACTCGAGGTGACACTCTTCTCTTTCTTTTTTATGTTCAGGGTCAAACATTTTTTTCAGGATTTATGGGGCTCCTCTGTTAACTGCAAACCAGACAGAGTCTGCAAAATAATGCAGATTATGTTTATTCACTGAACTATTTCCTGATGATAACTTGGTTCTGTTTTGACGTGTGGAAAGTGGAAATCCTACATTGTGTTGATTTACTCAGTTTTCTGAAAGCTTGCACCAAATTTATCTCTTTTTATTTTGTTTCTGTAATTAAAGTAACACCTGGAGCTTCTTTACTGCTGATAAAAATCTGATGAAGGACTTCGAAACATCAGGTAGTTTATGTTTTTGAACTCACTCTGATATTTTTCTCTCTGTGTCCCGCTGRCCTCTCTGGACCAAAGGGTCACCATCGGGAGGTCTGGTGTATGGCCATCAGCCCAAACGGAGACCACCTGGTGTCGTCTTCTCATGACAAGTCTCTGCGTCTGTGGGAGAGGACGAGGGAGCCCATCATCCTGGAGGAGGAGCGTGAGATGGTGAGCTGGACCTCAGGGGTCAAATGTGTCTCCGTTCAGTTCTGACCACGCACAACTGTGCACACTTCCAGAACCACCTCTCCTGTGGTTCTAAGCGGGTATAATCGAGTATTGCACGCTTATGATTCTACATCAGCAGGTTTTGTTTTAGAATCTGATTACAAGATACAACGACCTAGTGAAATCAGTGATAAAACAGTGGTCTAACCTGGAGGTGCAAACCTTTTTGTCGATCTCAGGAAAGGCAGACCTTTGCAAACACTTCTTTTCAAGAGGTGAAGGAGACGAGAGCTGGATGAAGCCGAGCAGATATACCAGGAGATTTTGGATAAATTGGCCGCCCATTGATTACACTGCGCCTATAAACAGCACCGCGACAATAAATAGAAAATAAAGTCTGACTACCGGACAGTAAAAACACAATAGCTTTTAATTTTTATTTATTTTTTTTCCACAGAACAGTTAAAGCTGCTGCAGACGGTCCACTCTCAATAATGCCCACTAGGGCTGGGTAAAAACATCTATTTAATTGATCTTGGATCGATTTCCTTTAATTTTGGGAAAATCGATTCACAGGACATGAGATCGATTCTTCCTCATGGCTGAAGTGCGTTTCTATATTTTGTCACTCCTGGCTTGCCGTATGTTTACATCTGGTTGTTGTTCAGTGCTAAAGTTAGCTTTGATAACAAGTTGTCTGGAGCAAAAGAAAGGAATCAATAACGTTACCAGCCGATTCTCAGCAGAACTTAAAGGGCCAATATTATGTGTTTCTCAGGCATACATTTAAATACTATACCATAATAAAG